ACAAGCCATTCAAAGACAATTTGCGCATGGAAATTAATGACTACTTTGAAAATAGAATGGAGAGAAATCAACATGGAAACTTTGTGAAACCTAAACTACAAGAAGTTGTGACTTGGGTGAAGAATTCATGGGAGAAAATCACTGATAGTTGCATTGCAAATGCACTGCCAGCAGGCTACCTTGACAAGAAGTACTCATTTAAAGATAGTGATATTGCTAAACATGAGAGATTTGGTCCACTGGTTCTGAAAGAAATGGAGTCACAAGAAATCCACCAGGAAATTCAGGAATTGGATTGTTATGATGATGTTCCAGAAGATGATGACATGATTGTCATTGAATAAATGAGTAAATTCTTGATACTGTAGGATTCACAGTTTGTCTGGCTTGTGTTGACAACTACCCTACTACCGTACCATATACAGTAATAAATTTCCTTTATTTTTATTTAACAATAAATGTGTACCGTATTCTTCTTCATGGAAAAATAAGACATCCCCTGAAAATAAGACCTGGCGCATCTTTGGGAGCAAAAATTAATATAAGACACTGTCTTATTTTCGGGGAAACAGGGTATTAGGTAGATCCTCTACACCTCTCAATCCCTAGTGCAGGACAGTGTTAAAGGCTGTTTCTAATTGGATCAGGCAAAGACTCAAAGCCTCCAGAGACCACTTTGTCTACAGACTAATAAAATGTCAACTTGAATTTCCCCCAGGCAATCATTCTCAGGTGTGGAGAGAGTTTGGTGTGTTGTGTTGTTTTTTTTGTTTGTTTTTTTGTTTGTTTTTTTCCCCAACAGGATGGGGCCCTTGATTTTGCCTATAGGCTAATTGTTACTTTTATTTTCTTAAGTTGCCTCAGGGCAAGGAGTTTTCCAATAGGGTGTGTCAACTGTCTTCCCCCTAGGCAAGGCAGATGTCTATGTGGGAAAGATGTTCTCCACTGTGTGAGGGAATGACTCAGCCTAGGAGATTTGGGGTATCTGCCTTCTGAGCTCTTTCCCGCCACACCCCCCCCCCCCCCCCAATCCCCAGTCCAGGCTTCTGCTCACAGCTTCAGTCCATTTCACACTCCCTCTGCCAGAGCACAAGAATTTTGTGCATTGGCCCTTTAAGTGAGTGCCGAACTTCCAGCTGCCACTCCCTGGCAGAGAGCACCCCACTGCTTTTCACAGCTAGATGTTATGTGCTCTCTGCTGAGGAGCCCAGCTTCAGGATTAGGTCCCAGAGTTCTCATTGCCCCCCTACCCCCCACTTCAACTGACATCTCTCTAGGACTTCAGTTGCTCTCTGTGGGTGCCTGGCCAGCCCTTTCATGCCTCTACCCCTCCTACTGGTCTCTATGTGGTCTCCACCTTTGGTCCTTGGGTATCAGGGTTCTCTCCTCTGAATTTTCCATTGATTATTCAGGAAGCCTTTCCATATTCCAGTTGTAATTCCAGCTTGTTCCTGGGAGCATATCTTTGCAGCATCCTCCTACTCTTCTGCAATTTTTTTTAATTCACTTTTTAAAATGTCTAACACGGTATCTTGCACTTGTAAGTTAGTCTAGTAAATGTTTATAGAATGAAAGTTTGTTTTACCCTGGTGCCATTTCATGATGATGATAGTGGTGGTAATGATGATGATTGTTCCTAACAGCATAGATCTTGATTTTATTTTCTGAAAATTTCTTTTTATTCAGCACTTCAGACCATGGGCTCCCTTCCTTCTTCCCCAGCCCCCAACAACTCTTCCAGTCTCACCACCATCTGTCCTGCTTCCTTTCCACATTTTTAACCACCCACATGCTGGCTCCCATGGGTACTCCCCATGGCTCTCTGTTTTTTTACTTATTTTTTTAATCCTCACCCCAGGATATTTTTAAAATATGTTTTCTTTCTTTTTTTGTTTGTTTGATTGTTTTTAGAGAGAGGAAGGGCAATGGTTAGAGAAATAGAAACATTGATAGAGAGGAACATTATAGATTGGCTGCCTCCTTTATGCCCTCCCTCCCTGCCCACCAGGGGATCCAGCCTGAAACCCAAACATGTGCCCTGACCAGGAATCTAACCAGCGACCTTTTGGTTCCTGGGTTGACACTGAACCTCTGAGCCACACCAGCCGGGCCACCCCAGGATATTTTCCCTCAGATTTATAGAAAGAATGGAAGGGAGAGAGGAGGGGAAGAGAGAAAGACCAAGATAGATGTGAGAGAGACACATTGATTGGTTGTCTTCCTTACAAGCCCTGACCCAGACGGGGGATGGGGCCTGCAACTGAGGTTTGTGTTCTTCTGGGAGTAGAACCCATGACCTTTAGGTCTGTGGGCCGACGTCTAACCACTGAGGGAAACTAGCTAGTGCTGGCTTTTTAATTTAGGTATCTGACCTCTTTCCAACTAGACTAAAAGTTCCTGGAAGCCGGGACTGGTTTGGCTCGGTGGATAGAGCATCAGCCTGCGGACTGAAGGGTCCCGGGTTCGATTCTGGTCAAGGGCATGTACCTTGGTTGCGGGCACATCCCCAGTGGGGGGTGTGCAAGAGGCAGCTGGTCGGTGTTTCTCTCTCATCGACGTTTCTAATTCTCTGTCCCTCTCAATTCCTCTCTGTGTAAAATCAATAAAAATATATTTTTAAATAAATAAATGAATAAATAAATAAATAAATAAATAAATAAATAAATAAAAGTTCCTTGAAGCTAAAGTGAAGTCTTAAGAGTTCCAGGCAGCCGAGACCGGTTTGGCTCAATGGATAGAGCGTTGGCTTGGGGACTGAAGGGTCCCGGGTTCGATTCCGGTCAAGGGCATGTACCTTGGTTGTGGGCATATCCCCAGTAGGGGGTGTGCAAGAGGCAGCTGATTGATGACTCTCTCTCATCGATGTTTCTAGCTCTCTATCTCTCTCCCTTCCTCTCTGTACAAAATCAATAAAATATTAAAAAAAAAAAAAAAGAGTTCCAGGCAAATGCCAAGTATCCATAGAGAACACAGGCAATCTTTCAAAAGCTCCATAATTACTTTTAAGATTTAACTAATTTTAATTTCCCCAACCTCTTAGCCCTTCTTCCCTTTGCTCAACACCCTCCTCCCACATTCAGGATTCTATTTCACCCCTCATTCATCCCAAGGGCTGCAGTAGAGCCCAGGGAGAGGTAAGGCATGGATCCAAGTGGAAGTAAGGGCCTTTTTTTTTTTTTTTAAATATATTTTTTACAGAGAGGAAGGGAGAGAGAGAGCTAGAAACGTGGATGAGAGAAAAACATCGACCAGTTGCCTCTTGCACACCCCCTACCGAGGAAGTGCGCGCAACCAACTTACATGCCCCTGACCAGAATCGAACCTGGGACCTTTCAGTCCACAGATCGACGCTCTACCACTGAGCCAAACCGGTTTCGGCATTAAGGTCCTTTTTATGACCAACCCTAGGACTTCAGGCCTTGCTGAGGTCCCAGTTTTAAACACATCAACATAAAATTATTTTCTATCATTTATAAAAGGGTGAGAGTAGAAAGGATCAAAGTGTTATGTTCTATCCAAAACCAGATCACCTAGGTTCAAATCTTTCAGTATTTACTAGATCCATGACCTTGGGCAAAATACTTAACCTTTCTGCACCTGGAGTTTCCTTATAGGTAAAATGGGAGTAACAATAGAATCTTATCTCACAAGATTGTTGAAATAAAAGAGCAAACATTTGAAAAAGTGCTTAGATTTGTACCTGAAATGTAAAGGGGGGAAAAAAAGCTCAAAAGGTGTTTGCTGTTGTGATGTTTACGGTTACTACCAACAGTGTCACAGACAATCGGTAACCTCAAGCCCACATAAATTATAAATATCTCCTGTGACTAATCATAATAATAGTAGTAATAATATTATTACCGGGTACGGCACACTTCCTGTGTGCTCACCTTGCATTATCTCCTCCCTAAAGGACTGACAACATCATCACGAGGAAGATGCACTATTATTACCCCCAAGTGCAACTGAGAGGCTAAGTCATTTTCTCAAGATCACAACGCCAGCAAGTGGGAAAGGCACATTTACTCCCTTATTTGCCATTTATTGAGTCCTGACAGGGGAGAAGCCCGTGGGTACAAAGGTAAACAGGAAGTTTCCGTTTCCCGAGAAGAGGCGGGGCGGCCGGCGTGACGGGCACCCAGAGTACGAACCCCGAGACGTAATGTCGGTAATAGCGGCGCACCCCCTCCGCGGCGGCCCCAGGCCCTCGGACAAGGAAGTCCTGGGCGCTCAGGGTCCACGGGAAGGGAAGACGCGGCAGTTACGGGACTCGCAGTTGTCTTTTCACCGACGTGTCCTGTCACCGCCGTGTCACACCGAAAGGGGTCAACAAAGCCGAGCGGAGGCCCGAAACCCAGCGCCCCGTCCCGAAGCCCGTCCGACCGGCCCGGGCAGCGCTGAGAAGGGTTAAGGCGCGCGGGCGGGGCGGGGCGCGAGCGCGGGGCGGAGGTGGGGCCCGGCCTGGCCCGCCCCCCGCCCCCGCCCGGCTGCTCCAACCCCGGGGCGGGCTGGGGTGCCGCCCGGGCAAGGGCCGGGAGTTGGGCCGCGGCGTCCCCGTCCCCGATCCCGTCCCCGCTCCGCAGCCCGGACGCGCGGGGGAAGGTGAGCCGCCCGGGCCGGCCGTGCGGGCGGCAAAGTTTGGCTCCGAGAGGAAGCGGCCTCCGGCGCCGGCAGGTGGCGGCCGGGCCTGGCCCCCGGCGCTCGCGGCCTGCGGACGGGCTCCGGGCGAGGGTGCGCCCGACGGGGCCTCGAGCGGGTCGCCGGGCCGCGGGCGGGAGGGGAGGGACGGCGCGAGAGCGAGCGGCGGCGCCGGGGAGACAGCGCCGAAGTTGGCGAGAGGCGCCGCCCCGCCCCCAGCCCTGGCCCCCCGAGAGCGGCCCGAGCCATGGAGCCCCCGCGGGGAGGCGGCCCTGCGGGCCCGGGACGCGCGGAGCGGCGCCTCCTCCCCGCCGTGTAGACCGAGGAAGCTGCCGGACTTCTGCCCCACCGGGCCGCTCAAGATGCCGCCGCTCAGCCTCCTCTTCCTCCTTCTGGGTGAGAAGCAAACAGGACTCCTCTTCCTCTCCCGCCCCCACCCTCGCCCCCGGCTGTCACCCCCAGACGCTCTGCGCCTTCCTCCTCCGAGGCCCCTCGCCCTCCCCGGCCAGCCCGAGCCCCCCGTCCCCCGCCGCCCCCAGCGCTGCCTGCCCAGCCCCCGGGAAGCCCGAAGTCGCTGCCCTCAGCCTCCCTCTGGCTCCCCCAGGTCCCCGCACCCACCCCTGAGGCCATGCAGCCCGAAGTCTCGAACTGCCGTCTCCCCCTGCTCCCGCACCCCCTCCCATAAACTACCCGGAAGTCCCAGCTGGCTCCTTCCCTCCCGGAGTGGGACAGGTGGAGCGAACTTCTAAAAAGGACTCCTTCTCCTGCCCTTTCTCTCTCTCCCTCTAGGAGGCGCGCTGGCCCATCCAGACCGGATCCTTTTCCCAAATCCTGGTAAGTAGATGATGCATGCCTCTGGGGACTCGGGGCTTGGTAAAAGGAGGGAAGCCCCACGGGAAGGAGTCTCTCTTCCCTGGATTCTTACGGTACCTGCGTAGTTTTTGAGTGGAGAGTATCCACCCTTTATTTCACAGGTGGGGAAACTGAGACCCCATGTGAACCCTCACCTGGTACTTATGTACTATTTTGTGTTTCCCCCAGTCGCCATGCTTGATCTAGTCTCCCTGAGTCTAGAGACAGTATTTTCGGTTCCTCCTGGTCCAAGGGCTGACACAAAGCAGACATCAGATTGTATATACTGTTGGTACTTAAGGCGAAGCTATGATACTTGTGGGAGCAAAGGTAGCTACTGAAGACTGTGACTACATCAAGTATGGGAAGAAGGGCAAGTTGATATGCTCCTTCTTGAAGAGACCAGGCCCTTGGGGGCCTCAAGTCTGGGGAGGAATAGGATGGTAACACTCAGCCAGTGTCTCTGCCTCTCTCACCAGCCTGTGAAGACCCTCCAGCAGTGCTCTTGGAAGTACAGGGCACCTTACAGAGGCCCTTGAGCCGGGACAGCCACAGCTCCCCTGCCAACTGCACCTGGCTCATCCCTGGCAGCAAGGATCAGACAGTGATGGTCAGGTGAGCAACAGGGCCAGATTCTATTCCTCTCCATGTTCCTCCCAGCTTCCTCATGGGGAAGCCTTCTTTGTGGAATTTCCATCTCTGTCAACAGGGGAAAGAGTAGAATTTGATTTGGCCTCATCCAGTGGTTCCCAACCTTTTTTTGGCCATGCCCCAACTAAGCATCTCTAAAATCCTGATTTCCACCCCCCCCCCCATGACATATAATTCTTATTTCCCAAAGAGTGTACTCCTATTCAAGTGGAGGAAGCCTAAAAGGCCATTAACTTGTTCTAAACAAGCTTCCAAAGAGCATGGCATCCATGAAAGAGAAAAATAAAAGAACAAAAGGATGGTTGAAGTACTGAGGAAGCAATCAGTAAGAAATTGTTTAAATGATAATCCTACATAATAAAAGCCAGGCAACTGAATGGTGGAATGACCAGGACGACTGGTCGACCAGTTGCTATGATGTGCACTGACCACAGTGGGAGCAGCCACTCAGAGGGCAGGTCCACAGCCACTCATGATCATTTCGGATGCGTAGCTGTTCCCGTAGCATGCCGATCTCCGCAGGCCACACCCCCCACCAGTGCACGAACCCTGTGCACCGGGCCTCTAGTAATAATATGAATTAATATGAAAAAATAGCAAATAAAGTTTCAAAACATATAGAGAATTGAAATGCATAAATATGTCACAATATATATTTATATGAGGCCCCTAGAAGCATTTCTTATGATTCAGTTATTAACTCATCCTCGAATTGCCCTTCTTAAAAATCAAATTGTGCCCCACGTTGGGAACCACTGGCCTCATCTGTCCTAAAAGCCTTCCTTGTTCTGAACCAGACAAAGTGAATTGGATCTGGGCGGGGATGGTCATCTCTGAAGGTCAATAGTCATTCTAGAAACATCCTTGGGTTCCTGTATGGCTGCTCTGAGGAAGTCCTTAATCCTTGCACATCTTTACTTAGGACTCAGAGCTATTCCCTTATCAGCTAAAACATTCCTCAGCCTCCCCAGATCTCGTGAATAATCCAGATCTCCCAGGCTCCTCCAACCTTGGGCCATGAGGTTGGGCCCATGTTAATTAAGTTTCTGGCTATTTGCTTCACACAGTTCACTTTTCCATGTATTTACCCAGAAAGAGGTAGGGGAAGGGAGAAGGAAATCTGTGGAGAGGCTTTTGGAGCAGAGGGATCAAAGTGCAAGTGATCCAAGCCTCCCAGGCATTTAGAGGGGAGGCAAGTTCTGGTTAATGGAACTGTATGGTTGCTGCCAGTTCCTGCTAACACTGTACTTGAGCGACAGAGCTGCAACAGCTGGAAAGCAATACTCCTGTTTATGTTGCAGTCCCAGAAGACAAGCCTGTTTTTCCATGGGAATCTAGGATATATCATATAGTCTTAAGGTGCCACTGGCCTCTGGTAGGATGAGTGCTAAGGAATTTAGCTGACTGAATTTTCACTTAGCTATTTGAGTTGTGGATAAGTAGATGCTTATGCTTTTGGGGGTAGAAAAGTCCTGGGGGAGGAAGAAGCCAGCGGTAGTAGTCAAAACTATCGCACAGCCCTGGGCGGTGTAGCTCAGTTAGGTGGACCATCGTCCCGTACACCAAAAAGTTTGTGGGTTCTGTTCCAGGTCAGGACACATACCTAGGTTTCGGGTTCCATCCCCAGTCACGGCTCATACAGGAGGCAAAACAATTGATGTTTCTCTCTCATGTTGATATTTTTATCTTTTTCTCTCTCCATTCCTGTCTCTAAAACAAAGTATCCTCGGATGAGGATCAACAAAGAAAGAATATCACATCCTGCTTTCCACCCCTGTAGGTTCCAAAAACTGCACTTGGCCTGTGGCTCAGAGCGCTTAATCCTGCGCTCCCCTCTCCAGCCACAGATCTCCCTGTGCGAGGCACCGGCCAGCCCTCTGCAGCTGCCTGGGGGCAACGTCACCATCACCTACAGCTACGCCGGGGCCAGAGCACCCATGGGCCAGGGCTTTCTGCTCTCCTACAGCCAAGGTAGGCTGGACAGGGTGTCCCTGGGGCTATGGACACAGGCATTGGAACCCCCAGGGAGGAGGGAGGGCCCACCAGCTCCGGTGCTTCACAGCTCCTCTCCCTGGTGCCTCTGCAGATTGGCTGATATGCCTGCAGGAGGAGTTCCAGTGTCTGAACCACCGCTGTGTGCCCTCCGCCCAGCACTGCGACGGGGTCGATACCTGTGGAGATGGCTCGGATGAGGCAGGTTGCGGTTCAGATCCCTTCCCTGACCTGGTCCCTGCCTCTGACCCCACCCCTCCCTGCAATCACACCTTGGAAGACTTCTATGGGGTCTTCTCCTCCCCTGGATACTCACACCTGGTGTCAGTCTCCCGCCCCCAGTCCTGCCTCTGGCTGCTGGACCCCCACGATGGCCGGCGCCTAGCAGTGCGCTTCACAGCCCTGGATCTGGGCTATGAAGATGCAGTGCATGTGTACGATGGCCCGGGGCCCCCCAAGACCTCCCGGCTGCTTCGCAGGCTCACCCGCTTCAACAACGGCAAGGCTGTCACCGTGGAGACGCTGTCTGGCCAGGCCGTTGTGGCCTACCACACAGTTCCTTGGAGCAGTGGTCGGGGCTTCAATGCCACCTACCACGTGCAGGGCTATTGCTTACCTTGGGACCAACCTTGCGGCCTAGGCTCCGGCCTCGGGGCCAGTGAGGGCCTCGGGGAGCGCTGCTACAGTGAGGCCCAGCGCTGTGATGGCTCGTGGGACTGTGCCGATGGCACAGATGAGGAGAACTGCCCCAGCTGCCCACCTGGACACTATCCCTGTGGGGCTTTTGGCACCCCTAGTGCCACAGCCTGCTACCTGCCTGCTGACCGCTGTAACTACCAGACCTTCTGTGCTGACGGAGCAGATGAGAGTCGTTGCCGGCACTGCCAGCCTGGCAACTTCCGATGTCGGGACGAGAAATGCGTGTATGAGACATGGGTGTGCGATGGGCAGCCAGACTGTGCTGACGGCAGCGATGAGTGGGACTGTTCCTATGCCCTGCCCCGCAAGGTCATTACCGCTGCAGTCATTGGCAGCCTGGTGTGCGGTTTGCTGCTGGTCATTGCTCTGGGCTGCACCTGCAAGCTCTATGCCATTCGCACCCAGGAGTACAGGTCAGCTGGCTTTGGAGGAGTGGGGGGGAGGGTGAGACAGGGCCCGTGATGCCCCGGGAGACCAGGAGGGTGCCATGTTGGGGATAGGTTCAGTGACCAGCTTATGGGTTGGCTCGGGGGGTTATCCAGCTTGGGGAAAGAGGTTCTTCTTTGAGGAAAGAGCGGGTCTATGTTCTGAAAGCCATCTCAAGAAGGAGGGGACCTCAGGTGACTTTTGGGAAAACAGTGGTATAGCTTTAGTTGTCCGGTCCTGGGTGTGGCGGGAAGAGGTCTGTCCAGGCTGGGACAGGCTCCTGCAGCTGACCACCTGTGACTGAGCAGCCCTCATTCCTTCCAGCATTTTTGCCCCCCTCTCCCGAATGGAGGCTGAGATTGTGCAGCAGCAGGCACCCCCCTCTTATGGGCAGCTCATTGCCCAGGGCGCCATCCCACCTGTGGAGGACTTCCCTACGGAGAATCCTAACGATGTAAGTCACTACCCCAACTCTAGCTCATCCTGCCCCCAACCCCACTGTGACCTGCCACTGTCCCTTCCTCCTCTCAGGCTTCTGGCCCTCATCCCTCCAACTGATGTCTCCTCCTCTCCTTGCAGAACTCGGTGCTGGGCAACCTGCGTTCTCTGCTACAGATCTTGCGACAGGATATGACTCCGGGGGGCGCCTCAGGTGCCCGCCGCCGCCAGCGGGGCCGCACTGTCCGCCGCCTGGTGCGCCGTCTCCGCCGCTGGGGCCTGCTTCCTCGAACCAACCCCCCAGCCCGAACCCCTGAGGCCAGATCCCAAGTCACACCTCCTGACGCTCCCCTTGAGGCCTTAGATGGCAGCACAGGTCCAGCCCGTGAGATTGGGGCAGTAGGTGGGCAGGATGGGGAACAGGCACCCCCACTGCCTGTCAAGGCTCCCCTCCCATCTGCCAGCATATCTCCAGCCCTCCCTGCTGTCCTGGAGGCCCCAGGGCCACTGCCTTCAGTGCCCCTAGAACCATCACTGCTGTCTGGAGTGGTGCAGGCCCTGCGAGGCCGCCTCCTGCCCGGCCTTCGGCCGCCAGGACCAATCCGGCCCCCAGGACCAACCCAAACCCCACCTGAACCCCACACAATTGTGCTGTCCCCAGAGGATGAAGACGATGTCCTGCTTGTGCCACTGGCTGAGCCAGGAGTCTGGGTAGTTGAAGCGGAGGACGAGCCACTGCTTGCCTGAGGTGACAGGGCTCTCCTGGGGGCTCTAGTCACATGACAACAACCTTTAGAAAACAGCTCAGCTTCACTCCCACCACTTCCCTCCCCGGCTCTAGGTCTGAGGGGACGTGGTGAGCTCCCTTTGGGCCTGTGTAGCTGCTGTCAAGTTAGGTGTCCCTCAGGCAGAGAGAGGGCTCAGAGCTCCCTCTGCACCTGGCAGAGATCATAGTCTCCACCACCACCCTCTCCTCACACCACCACCATTTGGGTGGCTTTTTAAAAAGTAAAATTCTAAGAGATCTTAGGCCTGAACACTCCATCCTTAACAATTCCCCACCAAAGTGGCCTTAAACACCTGCGTGCTAATTGGCTGGAGACCTCTAGCCTCCAAGGGAAGGATTTCGGTAGGGCCTGTGGTTTTGCCATCTGTGATCCTTCCTATAGGGCCTGGCTCAAAAGAAAGAAAAGGAAAAAGAAAAAGAAAAAAAGAAGCACAACAAATGCTTTTGTCTGATAGGTCATTGCCCAGAAGTCAAGGTGGAAAATAAAGGAATCAGAAATTTAAGATTTTTGTACATGAGCTGTGAGCCTGAGCCCTGCCTCTCTACCCGTCTCAGCTTATGCTCCTTCCTGTGTAGGTTTTTGCTCTGCCCTCTTCCTATTGATCTAATCACACACACTCTTGTGGGTTTTTTTTTTTTTTTTTGGTTTTTTTTTACCACTCAGTGGGTGAGAAAATCCTAGGGATCCTAAGAAACAACCCTTTTCCCCTCCACTCACCACCTGCGCCCAACTCTACAGTGATTGACACCAGGGTGAACACCGAGCCTCTATTCCCTGCCAGGCCGGAAGTCTGGTGAGCCTGCTGGGCCCTGTAGCTGGAATGGTTTCCATTTGTGGAGTACTCCCAGGGTACAGATCACAGGAGCACATGGTCCCTGGTAGAATATGGAAGCTGTGACTCCTGCCCTCTACCCCACCAATTACAGTCTGCAAGACAGATGAATTTTTAGCAGGCTGTCTCCAAGCAGGCAAAAGTGAATTGAAAGAAAAATCAGAAACATTCTGAGTGTGAAGATGCTGGCATCTACTTGGCCAAATCTAAGAGGTCTTCCTGAAAGAAGGCCCAAACTAGGCCAGAACACTGTCAGTAGTGGGAATAGAGTTGTGATTGCAGGCATGGTGAATGTCCACAGGATAAGCAGACTTGAAAGTGAAGGCTATAAGCTAGACCCTGAACCTCAGAAAAGGTGCAGGAACACAAGCAATAGCCAGAGCCAAAGAGCTGGAGAGAGTGATGGAGGAGGGAATGATCTGTGGAAATGTTGGAACCCAGCCTCTGGTAAGCAAGGTGATAGAGCTGTCCCAGAGTTTGACATGCAAATCCAGACAAAGGATATAGAAAATATGGGAGTGAGTATTATGCCCCAGGAGCAGAGCTGAGGCATCCCTGGCAGAACGCATTCCCTCCATCCCCAGGGAAACCCCCAATCTTGTCCTTGCCCTTCTGGCCTGGCCTATCCCTACCCCCTGGTAGAGGGCCCTGTTGATTATACCCTGTCAACATCCTTACATGCAGTGCTGATTGCATAATGTTTCCTCCTTCCCAGTGAACAAGAGCCTAAGGAATGACAAAAGGATATATGGTGCAATCCTGGGACCCTGGCATCTTAGCTCCAGAAAGACACAACTTCCTTTCACTGCAGATCCTCTCCGGACATTGGAGAAGGGGCTCCAGAGATCTCCATTCTTGCTCACTGTTCTTTCTTTGGGCCTTCCTTCCCCGGTGCAACAATCCTGGGTCCCACCAGTGTCTGACCCAGTGAAACGGAATGTTGATTTCCCCTCCCATTCCTCCACCACCTGGTCTCTACCTTCTTCCTGCTCCTCCTGTCTTGCCTACAGCCATCTCAAAACCTTCAACCTCGTATCTTCATCCCTTGTCCTACTCATTTTTCTTTTTCTTTTCTTTGTGTGTGTGTGTGTGTGTGTGTGTGTGTGTGTGTGTGTGTGTAATGAAAGTGGACAGAGATTCAGAATGCTGGAGGGAGAACTTGAAGGTAGAGTTCACTAGGAAGGCCTGTGTGTATAGATTCATGAGCCTAAAAGAAGCTTCTCTGGGTGCTGGGTGTGTGTGCTCTGGGAGATGCAAGCAGGGACACTTAGCAGCCACAGTGACGCTCCAGGTGGTGGGGAGAAGGAATCGGCCTTGCACAGGCAGGAAGAGAAATCTAATAAAACAGAGGGTCTTACCTAGGAGAGGGGGGACATTGGGAAACATTCACCCCAAGTTTATTTTAACCATGGCCCAAGGAAAAAGAGGAGGCAACTTCAAACACTATCTGGATGGACACCGTTATCTATGTGCCCAATATCAGGGCTGAATGAGGAGGAAGGTGGTGGTCTCACCTTAAGAGGGGGATTGACTAGAAATGTGAGAACAACAGAATTCAGTTCTTAAGGAGCAAAATCTGGGCCTGATCCAAGTTCCAGTCTCTACTGGGAAGGAAGGGGGTCCCCCATCACATAGAATGGGCAGTGGGAGCACCAGTAATTGGGCACTCTGCTAAGTGTCAGATCCATTATCCTTTGTGGCCAACCCTGATGACAAGGCTGTGCAATAGGCACCATAACCACACAAGTCAATTCACAGGGTCAGAAGCAGCACCCAAAGAATTAGGGACCAGCCTAGTCTCTATGGAGAGGCAGATTCAAACCTGGGTTGGTTGGCTTCCAAATCTCACTCTTTCCCACTATTTCATAGGATCTCCCATTCCTGGGGGAGCTTGGAGATGGATGAGCAAGTGTACAGCACCTTACCCGTAAGAAAAAGAGATGGTGGTTTAAGGTGAAACCCAACCTGTTCTGTAGCCTAAAGCTGGTTGGAGGGCAGGCAGAAGTCATAGTCAAGGATCCTCGCTGGGTTTAGCAGCCCCTGACTCACTCGTCTGGTATCAGAAAAATGAATCCAATCATCTCATTGAGTTTTCCAGCTACATCAAGCTCACACCTTTATAATTTAAAATTTTTCTAAGAACTCATTTTAGAAGGAAATCATTCTAAAACATTACATTCATATTTAGCTCATCGGTGTTCTCTAGACAGTGCTCAGCTCTGATGGGAGTCAGGGATGGGAGCAGCCCCGGGGAGTCAGAACCTAGTATAAATGTTTGTGGGATGCTGAGGATCGCTCATAGAAACCAATGGCTCCTCTTAAGCTATGTTTTCAGAAGTGATAACAGCGCCAGGGGGCTGTTGCCTTTATGCCAAATGATATTAGAGCACTTTTTAAATGCTTATGACTGCTTTAAAAGGTTTTTGTGGTGTTGCTTCCCTTACTAGCAGGCTATCAGGGTCACTTGCTGCTCTAAATGTGCTGATCTATGTGTACATGAACACACATGGACACATTAATATTGTGAATAACAGATAAATAGTCCATGATTGAAGACTGGAGAGTCTATCCTATGAGCAAAGCGCATGAGTATTGTACCTGTTCAGGAGTCCTTTCTGCTCCCACTAGACCCCACAATGTTGCCTTGTAGTTGGTATCCAGATGTTAGTCAGATTACCATTTGCTTCTTCGATTGGAAAAGTCCACCAAAGACTGCAATATGGGTTGTTCCCAATAATAGGAGATAGTTGGAATATTTAAGACAAGGAAGGCAGCACAGGGCAGAGATGAAGAACAATCTTTGGCATTGGAAAGATGTAGGTGGGAGTCCTGGTGTCCCTACTTTTTTTTCCAGCTGCATGATTGATTTGGAGACAGGCCACCGGCCTACCACTGAGCCTTACTGCCATGAGGATAAAAGATACTGTAGGAAGACCTGACAAAAATGGTCAGCAGGGGCCAGGAAATCACAATGTTTGGGTGCTTGCAGATGCCAGGAAGGAAGTCCAAGAATAATTGGGCAGGAAAGGAACAGTAAATGAGACACCATCCTGGTTTTACAAAAGGAGGTAGACATCGTGTCTGCCTTGTGTAGCCCAGAAGCCCTGGTGGCTGGCCGAGAGGGACTCAAGGGGAGGGGCTTGTATCCTATACCCGACCTTGGCGTTGGGAACCTCCAAAGGGTTAGCCTCTCCCCTTTTTCCTGCTCTGATTAACACTTGGCTGGTTGGTTTGTCAGGGAGGGGGAGGAAGAGAAAGCCGCCTCAATGGTTTGCAGTACCTGAACTTAGTGACTTAAGGAAGCAGCCCAAACAAAACAACCATTTCTTTTTCCTCAAAGCCCCATCTAGCCAAAACTGGTTTGGCTCGGTGGATAAAGCGGTTAGAGCGTTGGCCTGCGGACTGAGGGGTCCCGGGTTTGATACCGGTCAAGGGCATGTACCTTGGTTGCGGGCACATCGCCAGTGTGTGTGTGTGTGTGTGTGTGTGTGTGTGTGTGTGTGTGTGCAAGAGGCAGCTGATGGATGATTCTCTCACTGATGTTTCTAACTCTCTATTCCTCTCAGTGAAAAATCAAAATATATTTTTAAAAAAGCCCCATCTACCTGGGTACTTTTCTGGGCCTTAGCCTAGAAGGGGAGGTATGGGGAGGAAGAGGATGGCAGGGAAGCTTGGTGGCAAGGTGGGTGCCTCTTTTGGTTTCTGCCTCTAGACCTCCATTTAACCACAGAGCATCTACTCTGGGCTAGATATTGGGCTAGGGGGCTGGGAACCCAGAGATAAATGATGCATAATCCTGGCTCCTGGAGAAAGACCTCCTGGGTCCTTGTGTCCCTGCCTCCTGCCTTCCTCAGTTCCCTCACCCACCAAACCCTCGCCCCACTTCTCGGAGACCCTGTCTCTTCTGCTCTCTGACTTTGTTCTATTGTGTCTTACCCTGATTCTGCAGTGTGTGCTCCAGGAGGGAAGCGACACAAAGCGGGGAGGGCAGAAAGGAGGGAATCCCGCTGACATCACTGTTCATTAGCATGTGTGACCTCATCAGGGGCGGGACAATTTCCCCAGGTGTCTAGGGGCGAGGACACGTGGGGGGGGGGGGTATTTAAAGGGAAAAGCTGACAGTGCTCTGAATGAGATAGCGGTACTGCTGGTCGCCGGGCTGCGCACTCACGCACACCAATGCATTCGGACCTGGACGCCGACATGGACGCGGACACGGAAACCACAGCTCTCTGCCCCTCCGGTAGCCACCAGAATTCCTCCCCAGGGACACCCACACCAGGTGAGGCAGAGCGGGGCAGGTTTTGGCTGGAACCATGGGGGTGGGAGCCGAAGCTTTGGTGGGGAGGTCAGATCTAGGCGTTAAAGGAGCTTGAACCCAAATAGCAAGAAGGGGAGAGAGCACCTTGGAAAGGGGAGAAGCCTCTCACTCACACTAGGAATGGGGTTGGACTGGGGGTTGAGCGAAGAGCTGCTTAAATGCCCCCTCCCCCTCACTCTCAGGGCTACGCTGGGGAAATTTGTACTTGTCCCCCTAGGTCCCACTCGTTCCCTAGAAGCAGGAGGAAAGGAACGGGAAAAGGGAAGAGGCGGCCCCAGAGCCGGGGGAATCACGGGCAAGGGGCTGCCCTGGGGAACTGTTGTAAGGGTTTCTTCTAGCTCCGAGGCTCTGGCTGCTAGCCAAGTATTGATCCTGGGCTATTTCCAGCCTCTCTCCATCCCCCTTTGTTGTGTCTGTCCATCTTCCTCCTGTTACCCTGACCCATGCATTGTCACTCTCTTATGCTCCTGCTCTCTCCCTCTCACCCTCTCTGCTTCTCCCATCCTTCCTCTTCCTCACCGTGAATACAATATTTTTTCCAACTCATTGAAACAGCCAGGGATGCAGGATTCTCACGCACCGCCATGCACTGGGGGATACTCACCTACAGGGCCACGGGAGAGGCAGCCTCTCGCATGCACACACCCACAGAGACACAAAGCACACATCTCAAAGCGCAAAGAACCTTCCCTGGGATCAGGCTCCCCGCAAAGTTTTTGACTACCGCTACCCACCCCCACAGAACACGGCAGCCGCTCCAGTTTCTTATCGCTGAGCCAGCAAGCCCGGGGGTTGCCAGTGCAGGAAGCAGCAGGGGCCGGGCTTCTTGGCCGAAGGAAGAGCAGCCCCCCAGGCCAGAGAGTGTGCCTATGTGTCCGTGTGAAGTGTGAGTGGGTGTGCAAGACTGCACACAGGTGCCTCCCTTGCAGGGGCAGTTTTCAATAGGTTATGGCTGGAGCCACTTTGGACAAGCCATCAGGTCAGCTCCTTGGTGCCGCACCAGTTCAGGCTTCTGGGGGAGTTTCAGTGGAAGGGGTCAGACTAAGGATTCTCGGCTCCTTCTGGGTCATGGTCATCAGCTTTGCCTCTAAAGCTGGAACCACCAGGACTGAGCCCTCTGCAGAAGGCTAGGCATCCCCTGCTCATAGCTTCTTTCTCTTTGCCCCCCAGAAGCAAATGCCACACTGCTGAAGAAGTCAGAGAAACTGTTGGCAGGCTTGGACCGGAGCGGGCCGCCCTCTGCCCCTGGCCTCCCCAGACGAAGGGGCAGCATGCCTGTCCCCTACAAGCACCAGCTGCGGCGGGCCCAGGCTGTAGATGAACTTGACTGGCCACCTCAAGCCTCATCCTCTGGCTCTTCTGATTCCTTGGGCTCAGGGGAGGCGGCCACCACCCAAAAGGATGCCATCTTCAAGGTCATGCTTGTGGGGGAGAGTGGCGTGGGCAAGAGCTCCTTAGCAGGCACTTTTGGCGGTCTCCAGGGAGACGGTGCTCATGAGCCGGAGAATCCAGGTATTTGGGGGAGCCCTGCAGGGGTTGAGGGTGCCTCCAGAGCTAGTCAGGGGTGGAGGAGCTCAAGGCATGAGCAGCTCCTGGGAGCCAGAACCTAAGAGAAGTTTCTCCAATGCTTTTTGTGGCATCCTCCCCGGAGGGCGCTCCCTGGTTCTGGGATCTGAGGTGTCCCTGGCTACCAGGTTCACAAGAGTTGAGAGCTTCCTAATGGGCACCATTCCCTGTCCTTACTTCCCCACAGAGGACACCTATGAGAGACGCATCATGGTGGACAAGGAGGAAGTGACTTTAGTGGTTTATGACATCTGGGAACAGGTGAGAACTAACACGTGGCTGCGAGCAGGGGATGAACCTCAGGAGAACTGGGGAAGGGCGAAGCCTGGGGGAAGGCTGGTGTGTTATCATCTTAGAGAGCCAAGGCCCACAACAGTGTGTATTTCATGGCAACAAGACCCACTTCCTTCCTGGGTCTTCTGATCCAGAGGAAAGTTTAGGATTTGAATTTGGCAAACCCTGCAGATGCAAGCCAGGCTACACATTCTGAAATGGACCCTATCCCATACTTTTTTCAGCCTAGAAGAGTCTGACCCAGCAGGGGCTCAGGGGTCTGGAATGTCAGGGAAAGAAAAAGAAAAAGTGAGGACTTGTGAACATTGGGATATAAATGGTTACTATATAGAAACAAGAGACCAGATTACATAACACTTGAATAGCAGTCATTTCTTAAACTTTCTTGAACTTATTATGTATCAGAAAATAGGACGGGTTACCCTACCTAGCCTAGGATCCTATGTCTCCAACTCTCCAGTGAGGGACTCACATTACTAACTCGTACCTCCCCCACAAACACACCCTGGAGATGGAGATTCTGCCATTCACTAGCTCTGCTGTTCTAAACAGGTGGTTTCTCCCTCACATCCCGATTCCTCCTCCTTGAGATTGCAGGTGCCTGGCAGGTTTTCCCATGCTCCCGAGCCCTGACATTCTATGACTTTCTGCCCCTCTGCAGGGGGACGGTGCTGGGTGGCTGCAGGACCACTGCCTTCAGACTGGGGACGCCTTCCTCATCGTCTTCTCAGTCACTGACCGACGAAGCTTCTCCAAAGTTCCAGAGACTCTCCTTCGACTCCGAGCTGGGAGGCCCCACCACGACCTGCCTGTCATCCTCGTGGGAAACAAGAGTGACCTGGCCCGCTCCCGGGAGGTCTCACTGGAGGGTGGGTGTTCTGAACTTCATCATCCCTACTTGCCATCTCCCTTCCAAGTCACCCCTTTTCCATAAGGCCTTTCTGCTGTCAGGTGCACAAACTTAACTGCATTTAGCCCCCGCAGTCTCTCAGTGCCCATGCCTGGGGCCCCGAGGAGCCCTTCCCTTCACTCCCCCTCGCATCTTCTCCAACTGCCCCCCTTTCCCTCCCCACGACCCCTACTTGGCCCTCTGGGCCTCGCACCCTTCCCGCCGCACACCCTGACCCCGCCCCTCCCCGCAGAGGGCCGCCACCTGGCCGGGACCCTGAGCTGCAAGCACATCGAGACGTCGGCCGCGCTGCACCACAACACCCGGGAGCTCTTCGAGGGCGCCGTCCGCCAGATCCGCCTGAGGCGGGGCCGCGGCCACGCGGGGGGTCCGCGGCCGGAGCGGGGTAGTCCCGAGGGCCCCGCGCCCGCCGCGCGCCGCGAGAGCCTCACCAAGAAGGCCAAGCGCTTCCTAGCCAACCTGGTGCCCCGCAACGCCAAGTTCTTCAAGCAGCGCTCCAGGTCGTGTCACGACCTCTCCGTGCTCTGAGCCGCGGTCGCCATGGTCACCGCGGTCGCCATGGTCACCGCAGTCGCCATGGTCACCGCGGTCGCCATGGTCACCGCTCTGGGCTCGCCCCCCTGGCCCCGCCGCGCCCTGTCCGACTTCCTTTGTGAAGACGGCCGGGGCCGAGGGGGCGGGTGTAGACTCTACGAAACCAAAAACTCCCGGGACGCCCCGGGGTGACCGCGTGAGAGGGGTGGGGGGCGGCCTCCGAAACGCCCTCCTCCGCCCCGGGCGCCAGAGGTGGGCCTCAGCCCCGAGGGCGGGCGCGCCGACGGGCGGGAAGGGAAACCGTGCTGCCAGGTACAGTGTTTTGTTCATTACTTCGCGCTTCACCACCTCTTCGGTAGAGACCCTGAGACCGAGAACTGGAAAAGTGCTTTGTAGACTCTTTTACAGGGTTTTTCCATCTTTGTACTCTGCACGAACATGCCTCACCTTTAAGAGATTCTTAAAGGTAAAGACACAGAGACCCTTCTTGGAGACTTTTCCTATAATGTTCTGGCTCTTATCTGCTGCACTTCTCCACTTTGCCTTTAAGGAGTTTTTAAAGGCAGGGGCCTGGTAGTGCTATTTTTGAGAATTGATTTTGTGATATATCATTACACCACGGCACTTCCCCTTTAAGGCTCTTAAAGGTAAGGTGTGGACAGACTTTTGCCTTCAGATGCCAGCGTGAGTTGCTGAGCAGGTGGTAACTCCCCTTTGGCCAGGGCCCAGGAGGTACCAGCAAGGGTCCACCCTTCCCTTTAGAATAAAGAATTTTTCTACTGCACCTGTTCACTTTGACTTTGTTTTCAACACCCCCACACAAGGGATGGATGTGGGAAACTCTTGTCTGTTATAGACAAGAAAACTCAGGCCCAAAGGAGCAAGGACCTAAATTTCTAGGGAGGCTTCAGAACTGACTTGGTCCTGATGTAGGCCGTGACAGGTGACCACAGCCCCTTGGAGATAACTGGGTCTAACTCGTGCCATTTGCCTTTGCTGTTGAAGAAACAGGCCTGGAGAGGAGCTTGAAGTAATCTAGCTGCTAGAATTTAGTAACTTAGTGACCCACTAGTACCAAGTACCCATCTCTTTACCCTACCTTATACTGCAAGAAGCAGGCTAGAGGCTACATTTATCTCCCAGAGCTACATTCAGCTGTGACCTGGACTGGTTCAAGGTGAGGCCCACATACACCAGAGAGGCCCACCAGCTGGGTCATGACAGGGTCAGCCTGCACCTCCCCTGACAGGGAACCACTACCCCAGCTGTCACCTGCAAAGCCGGGTGAGCACTGAAGCTGTCAGTGCCTTCCCTGCTAACGCCCACGCCTGCTGCTGCCTGAGCCACGAGTTTGAACAAAGGGAACAGAGGCAGCCGCTTACACATGCAGTGCTAGCTACCTGAGCACCCAGGGGCCAGGCCTCCACCTCACCCACTCAGGTTCCCGGGACTTGATGGGAAGAGGAATGAGATGTCTGTTTTCTTAGTCCTTACGGCAGCAGAGGAACCAAGTGAGACTAGCCCAGCATGAGATAATGTGACAGTGACACTCTCCTTAGGACTTGATTCACTTAGTTTGTTAATTCTTTAATGACTGTATAAGGTGTTACTACCGTACCTGTTTTTACTGTGGAAGAAACAAGTTTAAGTAACCTGTCTGAGAGGTCAATAAGCAGAGCTGGGGTTCCACTCATGTCTGCTTGATACTTAATGATTTTATCAACCTTTGCATCTGAGGTTGCCTTTCCACTAAGGATTAAGGGGGGGGGGGGGGGGGAGAAGGAGGAAGAGGAACAGTAGGAGAAATATAGGCAACACAATGAGCAGGGCCGTGGGCAGTGGCTGTGGTGAAAGGGCCAGAGAAATTACATGGCTGTGGTAGAGTAAGCCAGCTCTAATCTCTGGGGACCATGAACAAAGACAGTTCAAATATTAAAATTCAGGAAAACACACTGGGCCCATTAAGAGACCAGATGGTTCTGCAGTTTAGTTGAAACTTCAGAGTCATGAAGAGGGGGGTAAGAGAGGAACATGGAAAAGGTTTGCTGCCCTATTACAAAGGACTTTAAATGCTGGCAAAGAAGTTAGTGCTCTAGGCAATCAGATGGATGGTCTTTGGGAAGAGGAGGCTGGGAGAGGAGTACATGGATTAGAGCAGCAGAGGCAAGGCCTGAGGACCTGAATGTAGGGACCAATCACAAGTGTTACATCTGAAGGGCAATGAAGGAGCAGCCCGAGAGAGCGAGCAGTGGGAAGGTAGACACAGCATGGGTTTGAGAGTCAGAATAGATGGGACTTGACTGAGTGGCTGGTATAAAGAGGGAGGAGTTGCAGGTTGTGGGAGGATGCTAAGGCATTGAGTTAGGGGTTAGCCCAGCCAGTATGGCCCAGTTGGTTCAGTGTCATCCCATATACCAGGAGGTCACCAGGTGAATTCCTGCTCAGGGCACATGTCTGGATTGTGGGCTCGGTCCCCAGTAGGGGGCATACAAGAGGCAATCCATTTATGTTTCTTTTTCATCAATGTTTCTATCTTTCTCTTCCCCTCTCTGAAATCAATAAAAACATAAAAAAAAAAAAAAAAAAGAGGCTCAGTGGTTGAGCATCAACCCATGGACCAAGAGGTCATTGGTTCGATTCTCAGTAGGGGCACATTCCTGAGTTGCAGGCTCGATCCCTGGTTGGGGTGGGTACAATTTCTCTCTCCTTTCTTCTCTCTAGAATAAAAAAAAACTTGAAGTACAATTTCCATTTATTCCCCTCCCCCCTAGCCCCCGAGAACTTTTCTTCACTCTTTAAAGACTTAGCTCCTTACATGGGCTTTGGTGGAGGTCGTGGGGCAGCACCTGCAGGTCTACATGGGGATGGGGAGTTCGGTCCTTCCGAGCTTCACGCGAACGATTCCTGCCTGCCTTGCTGTGAGTGGCACAGCTCACACAGTAATGCAGCAGCTTAGGAAAGGTAGAAATACAGCCACCAGAGGCAGTGGAAGAACTGCAACTGAGCAGGAGGCTACTGCCCTGGGAGGAGGGCTTTTCTAGAGGAAGAGTACCACCAACGTCAAAAGGGGCAGAAAGGGAGGAAGAGAAACAAGTCCAGTGCCTTGCCCAGCTGAGGTGGCTCAGTGGTTGAGCACTGACCTAAGAACCAGGAAGTCATGGCACAAGCCTGGGCTGTGGGCTCAATTCTGTGTAGGACATGCAGGAGACAGCCGATCAATGATTCTCTCTCATCATGATGTTTCTATCCCTCTCTCCCTTTCTGAAATAAAGAAAAACATAAAAAAAATAAATAAAAAAAAAGCCCAGTGCCTTTCATGTGGCAGAATTCTGAAGATGATGGCCGGACCTCCTCATGAGGGAACCACACACACCACAGGCTTCCCTGCCCCCAACTCAGCCAGTCTATCAGTCGACCCATCTGTGTGTTCCCTCCAGACGCCTACAGGGAAGAGCTCAGAACAGAAGGAAGCTGAAGTCACGCTCCTGCCAGACTTGGGAGAGGTGGGGTCTTCTCTGAGAGCCAGGCCATTTGTCTCCCTCCCTTGATCAAGGCAAAGTACAGACTGGCTGCTGATCTGATCTGGTGTGAGAGATAGCTAAGGGCCCTGGGACCAAGCTGGCTGTGCCAGGTAAGACTTCCTCTGCTCTTGCGCTCCCCTTAACCACTGTGATTGTCTTGGGGTGTGCGCTCTTACCAGCCAAAAACTTGCCCACCTGCTGAAACCAGTTTGGCTCAATGGATAGAGTGTCGGCTTGGGCACTGAAGGGTCCCGGGTTCGATTCGTCAAGGGCATGTACCTTGCTTGCAGGCATATCCCTAGTAGGGGGTGTGCAAGAGGCAGCTGATTGATGACTCTCTTGCATCGATGTTTCTAATTCTCTATCTCTCTCCCTTTCTCTCTGTACAAAATCAATAAAATATATTTAAAAAACAAACCATCAAAAAACCTGCCCACCTGTTATCTCCATTCCCCCAGCTCATAAGGCCAGGATCCCATCCTGCTGACATTCACATCAGTTGTAGGAGCCATTTGGCTGCTGCTTTTATATTGTTTCTTCCTTGTGGAAGTCTAGGGAGAGGAAGTGGCCACAGTGCTGGAGGCCGACTTCCAGGAGGCCAGCAGGGCTGTCTGGATCTGTTGGCGCCCGGCCCATTCTCCAAAGACTGGACCTGCAGGACTACTGAGGGAGGGAGTGGCTGCCATTGGGCTGGTGAGATGCTGGCCAGGTTAATTAGCTGAGCTGTGGGAACACAGACCACCAGGGGCAGCTCCTGCGGTGAGCATCTGCCCCCTGGTGGTCAGTGCACATCATAACGACCGGTCATTCAATCACTTAGGAGATATATATATCTCCAATCCACATAAAATCTCCAATCCACATCAGTCCAACTAAATTTTTCCTGGATATTATCATCTTTCATATACAAATGCTTATTGTTCCTCTCAGATATTACACTCTAACAATCACTGTGCTGGGCCCTCTGAGGAAAGCAAATAGAGATAAAACTCCATCCCTGCCTGCAGGTAACTTACAACTGATGAGGAGAAATGAAACAAGGTGGTGACAGCACCACTATGGACAAACAGCAGCATACTGTACCACATTCCATCTAACTGGGGGTAACATCCTGTGCTTTGAATTTTCTAAGAATGGGAGAAACAAAATTTAGAAGACATATTTTAGCAACTGGGGCTTGAAGGACGTATGCTGAAAAGTGCAGGTAGATGGAGGAAAGAAGGAAAAGAACCCCTTGTGAAGCTACATGAGCAAATGCACAGAAGAAATGGTGGGCAGCCCGTCCCATGATGGGTAAAGACCTTCCCGATACAGAAGGCAACAACATTTGGGTGGATTTTGCAGCCAAGTTGTTAAAGCCACAAAAAGACAAGAGTGTCCTGCTTTTTTTTTTTTTTTTTAAATAAATCTTTATTGTTCATATTATTACAAATGTTCCTCATCCCCCCCCTTCTTTGCTCCTCTCCACTAGGT